GCACTCACGTATAATCTGCTCTATGGACAGCCAAAGACCGAAGTCTTGAGAAAGAAGCTGCCAGCTACTTATTGTTAGAGGCCTACACAATGGTATTTTGAGGAGGAACCGCCCTTGGAACCTATATACAACCAATATTTTGTGATAAAACTGCTCTATGGGCCACCTACAAACCATAATTTGAGAAAGGACTGCCTTATGGGATTTTACAGACCAATATTTCAAGAAAAATTGCTCCATGTGCCGCTGCAAATCGATAATTTCCAAAGGGAGCGGCCGAGCGGGGAGGGGGGGGGGGGCTTGCCAACGATAATTTGTAAAGAATCGCTCCATAGGCCTCCCAGCATTTTGGGAAATAACCGCTCTATGGGCGCTCACAGACCAATATATCAAGAATTGAGCTGGAAACCCTCAAACCAATATCTCGAAAAAAATTGCAGCCGTTCAAAGACCGATATTTGAGAAAGAGCGCTTTCCGAGTCCCTTATGAATTAGTCTTCTGAGAGAGAAAAAATAATTAGAACAGGTTACAGTATATCTACGCCTCATACAAACCAACTTTCACAAGTAACTCCTCTACGCGCCGCACACAGACCGACAATTTTAGGAGGTGCCCTAGTCGCTTATACATCAGCATTTTGAGAAACAAGTACGAGCCTAAAAAGTGCCTGATGAGAACCTTATGGAACGATAATTGTATGACGATTCTACGAGCCCTTCCGCTCCTCTTCAAATTCATATCTGAAAAAAAGCGCATTATGGTCCACCTTTAGAACTATAAATATGAAAATGAAATGTTCCCCTTGCGGACCGATACTTTGAGAAAGAACCACCCTACAAATAACCGCTAACTGGATAATTGTCGAAAAAACTCCTCAGGGGAGCTTACAGATCAATATTTTTAGTAGAACTGCCTTACTGGCACCTACAAATCAAGAAAGAGCCCTATGAACAGATTAAGCATTGAAAGATATGCCCAATGAACAGCGAGCAGACTGGAGTTGTGAGAAATGATTGCAGAGACCTATAAGAATAGCCTTACGACTTATCAACTTATTTCAAGAACAGAGAACTGTCCTCATCAATTCTCACCAACTATGCCAGCTATGAACTTTAACTAATTATGGGCAACCAAGAACTTAAGCAGGAAAATGAAAATGTGAGCAGTCGAAGGGTAAACGTTGAGGAAGCAGAGTTCAAACTTGCGAAAGAAGGGGGGGGGGGGTACTGTTAGCAACCTTACGAGAGTGTCGCCCCTTCCCAACTATAGCCTTTTTGCACTTAAGAACCGCACCTCTTTTGGACGCCTTCCTCGAGGAGACACGATATTTACCACCCCCTGTACCCCTACGAAAACACGCTAGCCTTGTAGACAATCTGCACCCTCCGCACCCTCGGCAATCACTCGCCTCAGTCCGCAACTTGTCAACATGTAAGTGCAAAACCTTGCCATTCTTTATTATAGAATGATTCGTGCGTCGTTTAGTTTAGACGTGTGGTTAATAGTAGCAGGGCAAGGATTTTGAAAAAAATTTCTTGCTGAGATACGGAGGTATTTTCAGTGCAACTCCTATTTTGGGCTTGAAAAGGGCTTATCACGGCTGACAGATGCTCAAAACGCCCCAAGAACGTAGTGGGATAGCATTTCTAGAAGGTATCGATGTGCTGCACCTTTTCCATGCTACTTGAGAGTACTTGATCCCGAGACTCCCTCCATGGATGATAAAGCTTCAAAATTTCAACTTGAAAATTCGTCAAAGCAGGTCTAAACTGCACTTGAGGAGCCACAAAAATTGTAGTGTGTATATATTCAAGAGTTGCGTCTAACGTGATTTTTGGAGGAAGTACGGGGCAACTTTGAAGGGGCCGATTTTACAACCTGAGCATGCATGTTGGGGGGCTAATGACTCTGCGAATATTACAGGTATGGGGCTGGGTTTTTTTTGAGAGATTTCTGAAAATATGATTTTTGGAGAAAAGGTCGGAGAAGAACAAATTTCCAATAAAAGTGCGTAATTGACAGCCGAACTTGGGCAAGCTGTCAGTAAGGGTGAGTTTGCGCCCTTATATCTCTACAAGTTGCAGGGCTGGAGTAATCTCATGTGGTCATTGACATATACTTTTGGTAGCCCTATTTTTTGGTAGCTTGTGCCTAGAGATTCCCTGTAGCCACATATAAATCGGAGAAAATGTAGGGGCTCTCTGTGGGAGCCCATCTATAAAACTTTCAGGACGTTTTTTAGTTCAGGTCCCGCAATTTCTTCTCTTTCTCCCCCCTCATTTTTTCCTTCTCTTTATTACTGCAGCGCGTGTGATAGTTACCCGGCGGCCATCTGGACCGGGTGAGGTTCTATAAACGGCTAGAAAGGGGGTAAATAGTGTTAGGAAAGCGCGATTTTTCCTTATTTTTTTCATTTTTCCTTGTTTTTTCTTATTTTCTTCAATTTTGAACGTGTTGTGGGGAATAAAGTGGGGGAGCTTGTTTGGACGAGTTTTAGCTGTATAATAGCACTGGAAGTGAGGTTCTTCCGCTTTTTCAAATTTTTCGCTTAGTTTTTCGCTCACTTTGTAGAGTTGGGAGGAAAAGGGGGGGGCTTGCGGTTGAGTGTGCGGAGTCTAGTGAAGTGAATGGAGCCTTGGGGTTTGAAGGTGGGTGTGTGAATCTTCAAAATTGGCAAAATCGAAATTTTTGAGGTTGCGAAATCTCCAAATTCTCCAAATCTCCGATTTTATCGACTTTCGGGATTTCGCAACCTCCAGAATATCGATTCTGACGATTTTTGAGGTTTTGGAGTTTGCGAAATATCGAGTTTATCGATTTCTGCCAATTTTCGGGATTTCGCGCCCCTCAGGATATCGATTTTTGCCAATTTTAAGGATTTCGCGCCCTCCAGAAAACCGATTTTATCCATTTTTGCCAATTTTCGAGTTTTTGCAACCTCCAGAATATCGATTTTATCGATTTTTGAGGTTCTGGAGTTTGCGAAATATCGAATTTATCAATTTTTGTCAATTTTCGGGATTTCGCGCCCCTCAAAATATCGATTTTTGCCAATTTTCGGGATTTCGCGCCCTCAAGAAAATCGATTTTAGAGATTTTTGAGGTTTTGGTGGTTTACTACTCTAAAATATCGATTTTATCGCTTTTAAGCTGTAAACTGTAAGCCCCGCCCACTTTTGATGCTGCTATACACCCAATATATGAATATATCCTTGCAGCGACTCCATTTGGCCTTTATTTGGGCTTTCCTGCATGTAAATCAGCAGAATTGGAGAATTTCCGCATTTACACGCTTTATAGGGGTAAACTCTAAGCCCCGCCCACTCTGCAGAATTGTAGAATTACGAAATCATACGCTGTATAGGTGTAAACTGTAAGCCCCGCCCACTTCTGATGCTCCTATATATCCGATACATGTATTCCTTCCACTGACTTCTATAGCTTTTATTTGGGCTTTCCAGCATGTAATTCTGCAGAATTGTAGAATTACGAAATCATACGCTGTATAGGTGTAAACTGTAAGCCCCGCCCACTTCTGATGCTCCTATATATCCAACACTTGTGAATTTCCTTCCGCTCACTTCATTTACACTTTGAACAAGTTACAGATTTTTGAAAAATTCAACTTCAACAACGAAGAGCTCTTGTTGGGTCATCGATCAATTACCGGGGTGAGGGGTCGGCAAAAAAAATTGCATCATGCATCCATTCAACCTATAACAGCTCATAAATCGCTTCAAAGTGAGGATCGCGGCTAAAAAACTTGCACAGCTTCTCCTACGAGGATTTGCTTACCTTACACCAAAAATGATCCGAATATATTATTTTATCAACTATAAGTGATAAAATGATGTTATCACTGGACAGCAGAGTTTTCAGAGTTTTTTAAAGGAGTAAGCAAATGACGTTTCTAAAGCGTTCTGAGAACTTTCGAGGTTTTTCTAAATTGCTCGTACATGCTTTTTCGAATTATGAAGATAAAATTCAATTTTTTATGAAAAATCATAACTCCTTCAGCTTGATCTGATTTAGCTCAAATTTGAATCCCAAGTAAGGCTTTTGAACAAGCATCTATTAGCAAAATCTTAGTTGCCTAGCTATGCTTAATCGTAAGATCCACGATGAGCGCCATCGCCTCCCATGTGTCCCATGGCCCCCAAAGGGAGCAATGGCACACAACACTTATCCACTGTACGCCATCGCTCCCAAGTGTGTGCGATGGCGCACACTGGGAGCGATGGCCCCCAAACACATACACATACACATACACCATACACGTACACACACCTGTTGATGATGTCGAAGGTTGCTGGAATGGAGGCTGATAAAACTTATGGAATCAAATACCCTATTTTCCGGAGTATAAGCCGCATTTCTTTTCACCGCGCGCGGGCTAAAATGCGATGTCGTTCGCGATGCGCGAAGCCGCACAAGCAGCAAGTGCTATCTATTTCGCCTGGTAACCTAATACGGGTTTTCTGCTTTCGTTCTTTATTTGGTTTCTTCGCTAGTGTTTGTAACAAAATTCTCTATATTCTCATTTAATATTCAAGAATCTGATAAACAATAAAAGAACGTTCGAATACCAGTAGTAACATGGAATCGAAAGGTGATAAGCTATAAAAGAAGCACAACTTCAGCACCAGTAACATCATTGAAAAAAAGGAAAGCACAGTCAACCAGTAGTATCATTTAGGAACGAAAACGCAACCTAAACACCCGCAAAGTCATATGAAACAAGAAAAAAGTGAAGACATGACTATCAGCACTAGAACGCACCGAGTTTTTAATTTGCTATATAGCTCTTTTCAAAGGCGCTTTCGCGGCATTGTTCGCTGCGGCGGGTGCGGCTTATACAAGGTGCGGCTTATACTCCGGAAAATAGGGTACTTAATTTACATATGCTTTCTGAGTATACTTAAAGAATGTAACAATTGCTCCGATGCAACACTCAAACTTTTGCAACAAAAAACTACAGAACATTATTCAGAGAAAGTTTATTGCTGCTCAAATGTTGAACTCGAAAAGTCAAGTTTCTTTGCCTGTATCGCAGACCACGTGGAGAAATGGAACGTTGTAATCTTTGTATGACCTCTTTCCGAGTCTCCATTCACCATTTTTGCACACGAAGAAGACCAGGACTTTAGAATCTAAAAATGCTGATTTTTCTAAAATTATTGCAATTTTCGGTGGGTTAGCACATACGCTGCTGTAGTTGGTGAAAAAATCACCGCACTCTGCCGGTGTTCGCCAAACATTACTTCGCGTTCATGTTTTGAGTGGACAAATTTGGAAGCCAACGCCATTTATCTCAGCTCGACGAGGTTTATCTCCCGGTAGTTATTAGTAGAAGTGCTTGCTTGGGCAAGGTAGTCTGTCAAATTCTACGGATCATTCCATATTTTTGCACACGATAGATTAATCAGAGTCCACTCATATGCTTTATGAAAGTGAATGAGTGGGCACAACGTGCCCACTCAAGCATTTCTCTATGTAACATATGATGCATCTAGTCGAGCTGAGTGCAGTGGTACCCTCGGATGCAGAATTCATCCACTCTGAAGCAGGATATGGCGATGCGACGCGAAGTTTAGCGAACTTGGGCGAAAAGCGGTGATTTTTTTTTACAAATTACGAGCGGTATTGTGCTCATATCGCAAAGGCTTTCTTTTCGCTGGAAGAGGTAGCGTGCGGAAAGAAACTGATTGCAAAATCCCGACTTCAATGTAACGTCTTGGAGACCTGACTAGCGGTGCGTTTTTATCGAAGCTGAAGCTAACATTCCCTGAAATTTTTGTTGTGCTATAAACAATACTTAATACTGTGCTATAAACAATACTTTTTATCCACCATATCACAATATATTGTGATATGGTGGATAAAAAGATTTCGCCAAAGTCTTTTTCGGCAAACACAACGACAAATACGGCTGCTGCATGACAAAGACGCAATATTTTTGGGTGCGAACGCGGCTTTATTAGCCGCAGAGCGCATGAGTTGCAGTATTTTACCCTCGATATCAATCCAAAATCCTCCCTCAACATGACGTGAGGCGCCGCCCCGCTTCGGGCTTAGCCACGTTGCGGGCGCATCGTTTGGCGTGATGTAGCACTCAACAACATGCCGCAGGCTTTCCCACGTTGTTTTTGTCGCTACACCACGCCAAAAATGCGCACGTAACGTGACCAAGCTTGGAGCGAGGTGGCGCCCCACCCCAGCGGCTCACGTTATCCACATCATGTTGAGAGAAGACGTATGGGTTTATAACGAAGGTGCAAAGGTGAGAATACGCACGCGCCGCGTTCGCGCCCGCTTAATTGATAATGCTTCTGCGCCTTCGTTATGCAGTAGCCTTCACACCATCATATAGCAACGAGTTAAGGTTTGTGAAAGATCCTATTCATCCCTTTAGAAATAAATTACAGGATGTATGAAAACCCACTTCCATGAGCGAGTCCTGCAAAAGCGGAGTGTCGCGTCTTGCGATGCAAGTCTCTCCCAGCGGAAGCCGGGGCATTTACCGCGCTATCCGGCGACGATCACGGTAGCCGAGACGCGTGTTGCCGCGAGGATCTCTCCTTTATTTGCTCGTTGCCAGCCAGGCGGCTATATAGAGCGGCGGCGCCTCACTTGGGTGCCTTGTTCGTCTTTGTTTTGATCGATTGATTTCACTTCTTGTTCGATTATCATTTCAGCCGCTATGCTCCTGTTTTTTTTTTTGTAAGAGCAGTTGAGCCGGATGTTCTTTGGACTGGAAAATGGATTCTTTTATTAGCGCATTTCACGCCGTGGTACTAACCGGAATTGCACGTCAGTTGGAACTTTAACATCTACAGAAGCTGGAGGGGACGTGCTGTCGTCTACACCTTGGCGTTGCGCGGTGGATTTGTTGCGCGAAACCTCGGCAGCCACATGTGTTTTTGAGATTAATTGTAGACGCGCATCGGTAGCATGGGACGGGCCTTGCTTTAGTTTAGTATTTTTTTCTATTTTCAATTGTAGTATAGTGTCCTAGAGATATATCACATCATCTATTCATTGTTCTTTCGGTCGCGCGTTAGTGCGCAGTAGGCTAGGTACGTCTTAGTTTCGGGCGAGCATCAGGCCTCGGGTAACATCTAGGTGCAAGAGCCCACCGAATTTCCAGGAAAACTCTAAGTTTATTCAACATGCCTTGGGAGTCCCATCATTATCCTATATAGTCCTATCGAGTTTGAGAGAAAAATCGACCTTTTCTATACTACGCCCTCCTCTCATCCAAGGCCCCTTTCAGAGAGACTCGTTCAAAGGAACTTGTCATCTCCACTAAATTGGGATTTTGTCAAGTTATTTTAAAATTATCATGAGGACAAGACACGTTTTTCCACGAAGCCATAACAAGGTTTTTTTTCTTGCGCTGTCTTATCACAATAATTTTGTGGGGCAACATGAAACCAAGTGATGACTTCGAATTCTTACTAAAAATTTTTCTGGGCCAATTTTGCCAGCAATCACCATAGTAACACCTCAAAGGCAGTCGAAACTCAACACTACCAACACCACCCATTCTAACAAACTCAAAACTCAAAACGCCTTAGTTCGGAAAAGTTTGCCAACGAAAGTAAACATTATTTCTCGTACTCTATGTGCCGCACAAACCATTCATGTGAAACAAGTGCTCCACGATTCGTCTAAGGAGTGATTTACAAAAGAATTGTACCACTATCCCACTAAAGAACGATATCTCGTAATAAAGACCGCCCTATGAGCCGCCTACAGACCGATATTCATCAAAAATTTATAGACAGTGTGAATCGCCCACACAGTATTTTGATAACTACCCTACAAGCTCTCTGCGAATCTCTTGAGAGAAACTTTCCTACGGCCGCCTACAGAGTGGAATTCTAGAAAGAATGGCTCTACAAGCTCCCTATAAACAAAATTTGGAGATGATGCCGTACGGCTTTCCTATAAACCAGTATTTTAGGGAAATCGTGTGACTGGTACAGAGGTATTGAGAATAAGAGATACCTTCCGAAAAAGAATTGTACTACGAGCTCCCCACAAACCAATTTTTGAAAAAATTGCTCTGTCGGTCGTTTACGAACATCACTTCGAAGAAGAACTGCCCTATGGGTTGCACGCTGACAGATATGTCGAGAAAGAACAGCTTCGAAAAACGTTCAAATCTTATATATAAAGCTGAATGTCTGTCTGTCTGTATGTATGTATGTCTGTCTGTACGTATGTGCGGAATAGAAATTTTTATTTCTGAACCGATCGGGACCAAACTTGGCACACATATACTTCGGGGCAGGGAGCGTGTCATAGGCTACTTTTCGTTATCGATCGATATCGATTTTATCGATTTTTTGCAAAATCCTAGCCCCCTAGCTCAAATTTTGCAAAAAATCGGTAAAATCGACATCGATCGATAACGAAAAGTGGACTGTGACAGGCTCCCTGCCCCGAAGAGTATGTGTGCAAAGTTCGGTCCCAATCGGTTCAGAAATAAACATTTCTATCCGGAACATACGTACACGGGTCTAGCTGGCAGGCCCGGCGGAGCCGGGCAAGCCAGCTAGTATCTTCATAAAATGCCCTAAGAGCCGTAAGAGGCAAACATACCGCTCTACCTATATCTATGTATCCCCTATAAATCGATTATATATTTAATTCCTTTGCAAATCAATATTTTATGGAGCAACTGCCCACTCGTCGCTTACAGACCGATAATTGAATGGAGGAAATTTCCTATGGCTTGTCACAGACAGATATTTTAAGAACTTCCAGGTTTCCTCTTTCGTGAGATTTGATTTTATGTTCTACCCCACCACAAACCTCCTACATACCCAACCAGCCTCGACTTTACCCCCCAAAGTGTTACAAGCAAAAATACGCGGGCACGTGAAAGACGAACTAACCTCCTCTCGCTGCCGCCCGGATGTTAGATGCGGCCGTCCTTCGTGCCATAAAGAGAACATAAAATCAAATCTCTTACCACTTTAGGCCTCTGAAGAAGACGGACACGTCGAAACGTCAGGCCGACACTAACAATAAACATCTACTAACCTCGGTCGGCTTACTAAATTACTCACAGATATTTTGAGAAGTTAGCTATACAAGCCTCCTACAGACCGATGTTTATGAAAAAAGATTTGAGAAGCTTACGGACCGACGTCTTTAGCGAGTACTGCCGTACAAGCTCCCCTTCCTCTACAAACCAATACCTAAGAAAACCTTTCTAGCCCTGGATCACCTACAGACCAGTAATTTTGAAAAAATAATGCCCTATGGACCGCTTGCAGCCCGATCACTCAAAGAATAGAATGAATGTCCTAGACACCTCCCACAGAATATAATTGTGAGGAAGAACTGCCTCGTGGAAGCTTACAATAATTTAAATAGAAACTTCCTTGCGAACGACTACAAACCGTCCCTGGATGCCGCTGATAAATTGAAAATTAATTACAGCCAACAAAACGGAATTCTGAAAAAATAGAGGCCCATCGGCTGCCGACATTTTGAGAAACGGAAGAACTGTTCTCATTAATCATCACCGAGTTTTGGAGAGAGGAACTTTAGGGACGGCCGTGAATACTTTAGCAGTAGCACGAAGATGTGATTAAATTATCAGCTTTACATGAACGTGTAAGAGCTATTAAAGCACGTCGAAAACCAAATTGGCTGTACCTGTGAATAACTCAACCACAAGCGACATCAGTCATACCCAGGGATGTTAGCAACCGAGAGTGTCGGCACATCCGAAACCATTAGGTTGGCGGATGATTTCGGTTACACTTTTATTTTTATCTAAAAACTGAGAAACATCCGAAATTTCTTATGTTTAAGGTGTGTCGACGGGATGCAAAGGTCTACCCGCCGGCACTGTCAGATCCACGGTCCCTGCGCAAAACACCCACTTTATCGGTGGGAGTACGTTTTATGGACATTTTTTTCAGCGGCCCGGCATTCTTCTAGGTGATCAGGGAGAGAGCGGGCGACGTGGTATTTGGGCAGGATATGGTCCACAGGTAAGGTGATGGCACAATCATGTCCGCACACGATCACCTGAGCTACATGTTGCGCCATGTCAGCGCATATTCGCATTTCAACATGAAGAACAATCTTTAAAAATTCAGAAAAATCATTTTCAACCTTTACGTATCAA